TATCTTTATTTATAATTTTTTATTTATTTATGTTATTTATATTTTTTTTTCTGTCCTTTAACTTTTAACTGGGAAACATTATCATGGATATTGGGGAGAATATTCAGCTTTTGCAAAAGCCTTCTTTTAAATTTAGCTTCAGAGTTCCACATAAATTTTATGGTGTGTGTGCTTCGAGTATATAATACACATTTTTGGGACTTAGGCCATGGGACTTCGCTGTTTTCCAACAATGACTATGACAGAAGATAAAAGTAAAAAGGAAGGGTGAGTATGAGTTAACTGAATGTATGGGAGGATGAAGAGTGGTACTGGAAGTTACATTGGTGAAAATCTCTGTTTGCAACTTAGTATTAAAAAATCAATCGTGTATTATGCGGGAAAGAATTATGAAACTGCTTCTTGTGTTTCATCTTAGTTTCTTCACTTGGCACTTTACTAGAATTAATTCATTCGAATTTTGAGGTTGATCTGAAAATAGTCGAAAATATAGGTAAAATTTTTTGTATTCGCCTATACAAATGCCAACTAGTAAACAACTGCATTTCAATTAGACTACTATGATTCTGCAATGAAGTTTAGTTATAACCTAATGCAGCATGCATATATGGTAGTAGGACTTTCAAATTCAAAGCAACGTACGTCTCATCCATGAAGAGAGGGAAATAAAGATGACGCAGCTAACTTTTTGTGTGGTATAAGACTTACAGGTGAGGGGAGAGAAAGCACATGAAAAGTTGAAAACATACTTCCCACACGCTTTCAATATTTCTACAAAAAGCCATCCAAAAATTTATTATCTGCCGCACTGTATATATCCATGCATGCATGAACATAATTAACTATATATTATATATAATAAGTATATAACTACCCCTCAGTCCTTTAGAATTTCTATTCACGCCTTAAATACTCCTTGCTCGGAGATCAAACTTCTAAATTCGATACACAAACACTGCTTTTTATTTTCGGAGTATATCATAGGTTATCCTATTTATTTACACGAGGATTTGGAATTTCATAGGCCAGCATACAAACATGAAATGCAAAAAAAAGCTTCCATTGATGATTAATAACAAAAACCAAATTTATAGAAAAGTTATATTGTTACCTTGTGTTCCAATGGTTTTTCATTATGTAAGAGGAGAAAGGAGAAAAGATAGTATATAAGAAGAAAATAAGGTTATGTTCTTTATTGGAAGTTATGATATTTATCAATATAGCAATAATGATGCTAGATTGCCTTCACCTTTTAGATTCGTGTGGCTAAACTCTCAACTGAGTTCTATACCGGGAATTGACTGGTGTGAATTCTACTGTAACGTACAATGTAAATGACGGTTCCTTCTTAAATAGTCTTAAATAATCAATATTAATAATTACCATTTTAAGAACAATAAGTAACGTACAATTCCTATACATCTCTCTCTCAAAAACACACACACACACACATATATATATATATA